AATAAAAATTGCTCTTTCTAGGTAGTGTTTAGTTGGAGGCAGGCAGGCAGGGAGGGATATGTTTCTGCAAATTTTACTGATTCAGGCCTTCGGATATCCAGTGGGCAAGAACACAGAATAAATCAAAGCCTGCAAAGCTGGGGATTCAATGCACTGCTGTGCATGCTCCTTTCTGCAACCATCCGCAGCACGTTAACCACCCCCCTTTGGCTTGGCTGCTGCATTTTTACCTGCATGAATATACTGCCCCCTGGTGCAGGCCGAGTGTCACCACAGTCAGCACTAGGGAGGCTTCTTCCCCGCACAGTGTCCTAAGGAGGCATTATTATGCAATGGGACCTCCCTTAACAAAGGCAAGATTTTAGACTAGAAATAGTCTAACCCAGGGGTCCTCAACTCTTGGCAACTTTAAGACTTGTGGACTTCAACTCCCAGGAATTCTGGGAGTTGAAGTCCACAAGTCTTCACGTTGCCAAAGTGGAGGACCCCTGGTCGAACACCACCCTACCCCATCCCCAGACGTTGAGAGTCTATTTATTTATTTATTTATTTATTTATTTTCATTACGAACTTTAAATACAGTGAAATGTCAAATCTGTAGGAGATGACTAGGCTGAGCCCAAGGGAGGAGGAGTCAAACGCGTCACAAGTCAAGAGTCCCAGGGGCGCCAGCAAGAGGTCGAAGTCCACCCACCTGGAATGCCTTTCTTATCTCCCACTTGTTTCCCTTGACTGTGAGTCAGATTCTTGTAAAGAGCAATAAAACTTTATACTCATCTGAACTGCCTGAATCTCCCCATTTCCCCAGTGCTAGACAAAAATCTAAAGAAAAGAATGGATGGGTGGGTGGGTGGGTGGGTGGGTGGATGGGTGGGTGGGTGGATGGATGGATGGGTGGAACAACCTGCCTCCAGAAGTGGTGAATGCTCCAACACTGGAGGTTTTTAAGAAGAGACTGGACAGCCATTTGTCCAAAATGGTATAGGTTTCCTGCCTGAGCAGGGAGTTGGACTAGATGACCTCCAAGGTCC